TTAGGGTTTAAAGTTTAGGGTAACCCAAAAGCCTCGAAGCCGCGAAGCCCCAAGACACCAAAATCCCTCAGCCGAACAACAGAATCAAAGCTGCAAAGCAAAGAAGAAAAGAAGAACGAAGGAGAAACAAAACTAGAAACGAAGCCTCAAGCCTAATGAACCGCAAACCCTGACAGAACCCTTACAGAAATCCTGCCAAAAGTGCCATAAGAACCCACAAAACCTCTTTGCATATACAACCTTATTAAACCCGTATAAAAACCCTATAAACACCCTGTAACAGCACCCCTCTGCGCCTCCGCCGCCGGGAGCTGCCTCGCGGCTCAGTGGGATGATGGCCTTGGCACGTCGTTGAGCTTGGGGTTCCCCTGAGGGTACTCCAAGGACTCCCGGAAGGGTTTGGGGTTTAGGGTTTAGGGGTTCCCTTAAGGCTACTCTCAGGACTCCCATAAAGGGTTGCTATGAGGGGGTTGGGGTTCCCTTAAAGCTCCTCTAAGGACTCCCATAAGGGTTCCTATAAGGAGGTTGGGGTTCCCTTAAAGTTAGTCTAAGGACTCCGATAAGGGTGGCGCGGGCTTAGGGTTGCAGGGCTTTGGGCTTAGGGTTCCCTTGTACTACGAATTCCCTTAAAAGGTGCCTACAAGGGTTCATTTAAGGGCTACCTGAAAGACTGTGGGCGTTACGGGTTTGGGGAGCAGGGTTCTTTAGGGTCTAAAGTTTAAGCATTGGGTTTGGGGCGTACGGCTGCATGGGTACATGAGGGGCTTGGACTGTGGACCGGCGTAGGTGTTTTGGGGCTCAGGCTGTCGGTTAGGACGCTTTCTGATGCTTTCTGGCTGTATGCTATAATATAGTTTTGTAGTATAGTATGGTAATTATGATAATTATGGTATGGTCCGGTATGGTATGGTATGGTATGGTATGGTGCGCTTTAATATAGTACAGTAAAGTACAGTACGGTATAGCATATAGTAGAGTAGAGGAAAGTATAAGTGGCTACTGCCAGGCGGATCTTTATCCAGGCATTCGTATTCGTGGACGTGCGCAGCTCCAACCTACAGCAAAAACATCGAAGAATTTCAAAAATGTTTCGACCATGCCTCAAAAAACCGTTTCCACACTCTTGACCCAAACTCCAATTGTGCAGTCTGATTAAACCCCAGGAGCCTAGGCTGAAATCTCTCGGTCACGCACCTGACGCACGACATCATTGGTGGTGGATCTGAAGGGATCGAAGCTCGGCATGACCTGCTGCTGGACGGTCAAGAACTGGGCTCTTTCTGCCACAAGGAACACAAAGGGATAATATGGGTATCCGGGCGTCTACTTGCGGCGCCACACATCACGACATGACTCAAAGGGTCGGCCTGCCAACGACTTGCAGACGTCGACGATCACTTCGATGATACGAACAGGATCGCAGGGCTTTTAGAACCCCTAATATAGAACCCTACTATAGATCCCTTATAGAACCCTTTAAGGGTCAGAAGCCCCAGGAAGCCCAGCCCAAGCAGACTTTTCAACGGTCTCGAGGTGTCTGTTCTTGCGAACGAGGAGAGGGGGCCACGTGCCGTCACAGCACTGTCTCCAGGATTCGGAAGGGGGGCCATGGCCTGAAATTCTCCCGTGTCTTACGGGTTCAGGCTGGGTCAAAAGCGGGTTCTGGCTCAGAAGAGCCTTCAAACACAAAATCAAATGCTGGCTCGCCGGTGCAAGTCTTTAAGATCCCGCACAGCCGAGTCCAGCTTTCTTTTAGTGAGACTCAGCTCGAGGCGATGAGGACGGACAGCAGACCTGCAATTGGTCCGAAGCTCAGTGCCACAGTGCCACTCGTGGTGATACCTGCTGCCGTCGTGGTCGTAGGCTCGGGCCCACATGGGCAATACCCTGTGGAGCAGTCACCTGTGAGCTCGTTTGTGGGCTTCTCGTAGTTGGCCATGGTGCTGGATCCAACTGGGAAGTGACTGTTGGGATAGCACTGGTCAACCATCCCGTTCTTGAGGCAGACGTCGTAGTACTCCTTGGTCTGCATGAACTCGGCAAGGCATCCATTGATAAGGCTTGGCACCATAGAGCCCGGCTTCGTCATCGCCAAAGTTGTACCGTTGAGAGCATAGCCCTTCTGTCCCGTTTGGACATACGCGTACTCCGTGCCAAACCCATCCCAAAGGCTGCAATTGAACGTCACCGTAGCGTCACCCACTGCAGAGCACTGGTAGAGCGCCGCCTGGTCCGCGTAGATGAACACGGCATCCCCGTTGCCGTTGCGCAGCATGTTCATTGCATCATCGTTCTCTGGGCCGACGACAATGGTAATGCTGTCCGAGTACGGCATGTTCGAGCACTTGTTGGTCACATAGCCAAGACCGTCGGCGGTGGGTGCCCAACCACCGACATCAATCACCGTCTTCCCTGCGAGATCGTCCCAGCCGCTGACTGACGGCACACCATTCGTCAACAGGGTCATCAGGCCCGCCGGCTTGTTGTCATCGAGGATGGCGATGGACCAGTCTGCATTCGTGTCACGTGATCCACGTCCATGGCTGTAAGTCATGCATCCAGTGTGCCATCGACGAGCTTGGGTCCAAGCTGGCCATCGGAAGTCCAGCAGTCGAGCCAATTGGTCTGCACGGATTCAATGGTCAAGTTGTCACACAGAGCCGTCATACCATCTGCGATGTCCTTGCCCAAGCCCATGAGCTCCATGGTCGTCGCATTCTGCCAGGCATAGGGCTTCCAATCGATGTCCATGCCGAACTTGAAAGTCCATCCGTGGGCTGCCCCGGCGAGGCTGGCGAAGCCGATGCTGCGCATGAAGGAGGACCTCGATCCAGACAAACGTCGGAAGAAGTTTAGGATTCAGCTTCAATTCCCTCAGGCTAAACCCAAACACTGCGTGCTGCCGAGAATGCATTTGCAAGTGCAGGGAGTCGCGCCAGGAGGCTGCAAGGACAAACGAAGCAGATGAGCCAAGAGCTGCATGGCATTAGCCTATATATATATATATATATATATATGCCCAACTGGAAAGCACTCGGAGGCCAAGGCAGCTCGACTCGGAGACCCTCAAAACCCAGGGCACAGCATCCGAGCGTGTCGGCGCCTTGTCTTCCATCAGTTGCCTCCAGAAGCCCATCAAAGACAGCCTGCCATGGACTCGGGGCATGCAGTGGAGTAATAGCAACAAAAGCACCACCACCGCCGCTGACACTACCTGCCAGCGCGATCCAGCAACAGAAGCGGCATGAAAAAAGCCATGATGATGATCATGCTGGTGATGATGATGATGATGATGATGATGATGATGGTGGTGGTGGTGACGCTGACGCTGATGCTGATGCTGACACTGACGCTGACCCTGGTGATGGTGATGGTGATGGTGGTGGTGACGATGGTGATGATGGTATGATGTTGCTGATAGATTGGCAATGAACCTTGTCAACAGACTTGATGTCGTCCACATTCTTGGACAGGAAAACTAGTTTCTCAACAGATCTCCTGGTGTCCTAATTCTCCGAAAGACAGTTCGAGGCTTCGCCGAAAATCCTCACAGCTGGCTCTAAAACCGGATGCTAAAACCTCCGGGCACACCGTGCAGATGCGTAAAGCTCCAAGCTGCAGTCTGCTATTCCAGAGCACGAACCCCTGAGCTGAAGTCTCCTGGAAATCTTTCAAACTACTCCATCTTGCAGGAGACCTGCCACTGTTGATATTCCTTTTGCGCCTTTTCTTTGTTCAGCCCTCTCTGTTTTAAAGTTGGATGCTGCCAGTGATAATCAGAAAAGTGGCAACTCTGGCTACCATGCGGCAGCCAAATACAACCAAGGATCAACAGGGCGTGGAGTGAAAGAGAGGACAACGACAATCATATCCACCACAACGACCGCAAGTTCAAGGTTTGGGTCTATGTAGGGTTGAGGCTTTGGTTTAGGACTGTTGGGTTTCGGGCTTCGGGTTTGGAAATTCGGTTCCCTTTGGGTCATGCACTGACTACCCCCAAGACGTGCCCCGAACGAGAAGTTGTGTTGGGAGGACACCGTGACGCCGCGATTTCCCAGCTCCTCCACCTGCCAAAGGGGCTTCAGGTTCCGGGCTTAAGATTCACAAACCATAGGAGTTAAGACCTCTTTAGCAGCCTTTGTGTGCAGACACTTATCCGTGGGTTTGGGTTTGGGTTTGGGCAGGGCGGGCGGTGACTTGCAAACAGACTTTGGCAGAAACTTGCTGCAGACCCCTGAACCCTGATGTGAACGGAGTAGAAAACCCTCTGCACTCTAAAAGCCCCCATCCTTGGCGAACAGCGAAAGAATGCCCAGCAGTGCAAATCCAACCCAGGAAGGATTCCAGGCCGGCACCCCTGAGGTTCCCAAGACAACATACAGTTGGGATTTCATGAGGGATACTGTAAAAAACCCTAAACCCTAAACCCTAAACCCTAAACCCATAAAGACTACTAAACAACTACAAGGGTAAGAAGCTTCTGGCCGGAGCACGACGGCCACCCCAGGATATGTACGACACTGTGGCGCGCGGGCTGCGCGAGAACGAGTTTTGCAGACGAGTCGCAGGCAAGGTAGCAACGTCACGGTGCCACGATTTCGGGAGGGGAAACGCACAGGACTGGCGGGAAGAGCAGTCGCGCCCGAAAATACGGGAGAACGATCGCCGAGTTTGCAACCACACCCGATCCCGAACCCCAGACGTTGTTGAACTCTAAATCCTCAGCACGTTTGAGCATCGACCTTTTTTCAACCTCAATCGCGCCCAGAGCCTCTCTTCAACCGGAAACCGACACCCTTCTGTAATCCCAAGCCTAAAGGGTTCAGAGTTCAGGGGAACACTTCACCTCACTCGACCTCAACAGACCAAAGCTCTGAACTCCAAGCCCCTGACTCCCTACAGCCCTAAGCCCTAAACGCCCATAGATCCCTTATGGCGGCCCCTATAGGAACCCTCAAAAAACCATCCCAGGAAACCGCAAAGAAGGTCACACACCCTAAACCCCAAACCCTAAAACCCTAAACCCCAAACCCCAAACCATATAGATCCCTTATAGAACCCTTATAGATTCCTACTAGAACCCTGCCCCTTTGATTTAAAAGGCAAACCCTAAAACCCTAAACCCTAAACCCCTAAACCCTAAACCCTAAACGGAGCCCCTTAGAAGGGCAAAGACAGTCCCAGCGCCGATGCCTTCGCCGACCAAACGTACTCGTCTCCCAGCTTCAACGAGTTGCTCTTGGTCTGAGGATTCGGGGCCGAACCGTAGGGCTCTATAAGGGCTCTATAAGGGATCTATAAGGGATCTATAGTCTATAAGAGTTCTTTAAGGGATCTATAAGGGCTCTATAAGGGATCTAATAAGGGATCTATGGTCTAGAAGGAATCTATGAGGGTTCTATAAGGGATCTACAAGGGATCTATAGTCTATCAGGGATCTATAAGGGATCTATAAGACATCTACAAGGGATCTATATGGGATGTACAAGGGATCTATAAAGGGATCTACAAGGGATCTACAAGGGATCTATATGGTTTAGGGTGAATAGAATAGGGTTTTGGGTACTATAACGGTTCGGAGCCGAACCCCAGGGTTCTATAAGGGTTCTAGTAGGGATCTATGAGGGTTCTATAAAGGCTCTAGTAGGAATCTATGAGGGTTCTATAAGGGATCTATATGGTTTGGGGTTTAGGGTATGGGATTTGGGGTTGGGGGTTTAGGGTTCAGGGGTTAGTTAGGGTTTGGGGTTCAGGGTTTAGGGTTTGGGGTTTAGGGTTTAGGGTTTGGGGTTTAGGGTTTGGGGTTTAGGGTTTAGGGTTTGGGGTTTGGGGTTTGGGGGTATATCCTAAAATACTAATATTTATGACAATTGATAATAGTAAACATAATGATACTAGCAATAGTGATAACCATAAACCTATCCACCCTGTTAAGGGGTGCTGTGGTCGAGGGTTACGGTGCTTTGGTTCTTGCCTCGATCAGGGGGCCTCTAGGTTACCTGCTTAACATATGTTTCAACTGACAACCCGATGTCCAATCTGTTTCGCTGGGTCCCCTGATGCGCGGGGAAACCGAAACCTCAACAAGCATTTGGGAAAACCTACAAAACCCCTCTACACCAAGCCTGGCCCCTCGAGAAACTCGTCTCTTCTGGGAACCAAGGAGGACCCTAGTTCAGACCCTACCCATGTTTTGTACTGTCACACGGTTGCAAAGTGCTCTATGGCATTCAAGGGTTCCACGTTCGGCGCGCGGGTGACAGTTGACAGGACTCAGGATATATATAGGCTGTCAGGGTTTCGGGCATAGGAGAAACTCACGGATATTGATCTGAGGCTGCAGGTGTAGGCAACAGAGTTCAGGGTTCGGGGTTTAGGGTCCAGGGCGTGCAGTAGTAGTAGTAGTAGTAGTAGTAGTAGTAGTAGGAGGAGGAGTAGTAGTAGTAGGAGGAGGAGTAGTAGTAGGAGTAGTAGTAGTAGTAGTAGTAGTAGTAGTAGTAGTAGCAACAGCAGCAGCAGCCCCAAGCCCACATATTATGTTGGATGTCGAGCTTTGCCACACGAACATCTCAGTTGCTGG